AGAAAAAAAAAAAAAAAAAAAAAGGCTGTGGATTTGATAGGAGTGCTCATGGACCAAATCCTGCCTGGCAGTTGCCAGTTGGATAACTTTGGTCTAAGAGCTCCTCAGGCACAGTAGTAGAGTCTCCACAAATAGCTCAGTGGTGATCCACTTGTCTTAACATTGTGTTTTATTTCAATTGTTGGCTCTTGGGACTGACCTATAAAATCTATAAATGGAAAAGAATTGCATCCAACTGACTATTTTTAGGCATTAGTTAGGCATTAGGCTAGATGTTGCCATTCACACTTCCATAAACCACCACACTATGCACACATGGAAAAAAAAGTCTTCGGCATGATAGGCTTGAACCTATCATTCCCTAAACTACAAAATGAAGTTGGTCTTTCTTAGACTGTACCAAAGTTATTCAAGAAAATCAAGACAATACTAAGCAAAAGTAGCATGCAAACATATGCCACAAACTATTCCAATGGAGAGAAAGTAACCTTGGAGAAAGAAACAAGTGATAGTAAAAGAGTTCTTATGTTATGGCTTGATGTGAGGCTACACTATAAACATACACATGAAGACACTATTACTTTGTCTTTTTTTCTTTCTCTTCCAAGTAAGGAAGAGGACAATACAAATCCCTAGCACAAAACTGATACTGAAGAGGTCACTAGTTAAATCATCGTATTTTCATTGCCTAGAGTGCATCCACCTCCTGGGAGCTAAGTTGGTAAAATTAGAGAGTTTTGCTGGCTGGGCCAAATAAAAGGTGTTGTGCAAATAAAAGTTTTTGTAAGGAAAGTAAGAAGTGTGGGTCTGCCCCTCCTTTCTTCTGGGAGCTACTTTCATACTGATGCTTCACTGCTGGCCCCTGCCAGAGCAACATCGCTGCTTTGCAGTGGCTGGGACCTGCGACCAGTCTCCTACCTCTACAAGTCTGTCCATGACCTCAGTTTCCCCATGTTGATCTCAATTTAGTCTCCTCACTTCAGAATTACTGGATGATCACCGGACTGTGTCTGACTCTCATCACTGTCTCTGGCCCTGATTCTGACCTGAACTGGCTGCTCTGCATCCTGGCTCCTGGTCAGTGTGATTGCAGCTCCCGCCAGCCTTATCATTACTCCACTCCTAGCTCATCTTACTGCATAGAGTTGCCAACTGTCACTGCTACCGGTAATGCTATGAAGCAGCTGGAAAGCAAGAGGAGCTGGAGTCTTGTGACTAGACACTTCTGCATGCTACTTGCCAGCTGCTGTGAGGAAGTCATGAGGGTTTAGCAATGTGTGGAGGAAGGTTAATGAGTGATGACCAGCCTAGGCGATGAGTTAAGATATTGCTACTTATACAAAGCCACTACACAGCACTTCCTAATAGCTATGCAAACAGAAACCAGCTATGTTTAGAGAGCTTGAGCTGAAGGTTCTGCTCATTTCAATCAGTTTTAACTAGTGGTGTCAGTACTGACAAGGTCCAATCCTGCTCAACTTATTCATCAATGACCTGGAGAAAACTCCAGGGCAGAATACACTCTCAGCAAGTTTGCTGATGATGTGAAGCTGGTAGGAGTGGCTGATACATAAGAGGGCTGTGCTGTCAGAGAGACCTGGCTTCACAGAGACCTGGAGGTGCCAGGGACTTCAGCAGAGAAGAATCTCATGAAGTTCAAGAAGGTCAAGTGCAGGTTCTTGCACCATGCGAGGTAAAACCCCATGCATTAGGCTGGGTGCTGACCTGCTGAAGAGCAGCTCTGAAGAGAAGGACCTGGGAGTCCTGGTAGGCAACAAGTTAATTATGATCCAATGATGTGCCCTTGTTGCCAAGAAGCCAATGATAAGCTGGGCTGGACTAGGAGTGTTGCCAGTAGGTCAAGGGAAGTGATCATCCCTGCTCTATTCAGCCCTGGTGAGGCCACATCTGGAGAGCTGTGTCCAGTTTTGAATTCCCCAGTGCAAAAGAGGCATGGAACTATTGGAAAGAGTATAGCATATGGATATAAAGATGATTAGGGGACTGCAGTATCTCTCCTATGAAGAGAAGCAGAGAGCTGGGTTTGTTTAGCCTGGAGAAGACTGAGAGGGGATCACTGTATTCAAATATCTGAAGTGAGGGTGTCAAGAGGAATGGGCCAGACAATTTTCAGTGGTGGCCAGAAATAGGATGAGAGGCAAGGGCCACACACTGTAATAAGTTCCACCTGAATTTGAGGAAAAGCTTCTTGACTGTGAGGGTGACAGAGCACTGGAACAGGTTGCCCAGGGAAGGCATGGAGTCTCCTTCTCTGGAGATCTTCAAAACCCACCTGGAGGTAATCCTGTGCAATATGCATTAGCTGACCTTGCTTGTGCAAGAGGGCTGGACTAGATGATCTCCAGAGGTCCCTTGAATCTTAGTAAGTCTGTGATTCAACTGCTGGTTGTTACTACTAAGGCTTTGTTTCTGCAACAAACCTCTCACGATAATTAGAAATTATGTTGAATTGTCTCTTATTGTTTTTTTCTGCAGCTATAAATACCATGGTTCTTAAAAATAGCCTTCAGATTTTGCATGTGGATATTAGTTACTAAAACATAAAATTAACTGCCATCTCTTTATCTTCACCCCATAGTGTACAAGTTTGACCTTTCGTACTGCTGAGTATTAAATTCCAGCAAAATGTTCAGCTCAGAAGCGACAGAACCTTAATGCAGCCTAATGCTGCATGCTATGGTTAGAGAATTAGAAAATGAGGGAGAAGAGATAATGTGCTTTACAATAGTACCCCAGGCAAAGAGCAAAAGCAAATGCCCTCAAGACACACAAACAACAACAACAACAAAAAGGCCTCATATAATCTAACCTGGATGGGGAAATTGCTCTACCTCCTCTTTCCTGTCCCTGCCTTCTCCCCGCCAGCCCAACCTGACAATCCATACAGTATGGTAATGCCCCTAGGAAAGAAAATGCTCTATTTAAAAATTCGTGGAATCACAAGATAATTTAGGTCATAAGGGACCTCTGGAGCCATCTGGTTCAATCCCCTGCTCAAAGCAGGTCTAATTAGATCAGATATCTCAGAACCGTGTCCTGCCAAGCCTTGGACACTTCCAAGGAAAGAGATCTCACAGCCTATATGAGCACCTGCCCAAGTATTTAGTCACCTCTCTGATATTTTTCCCTAATATCAAATTAGAATTTCCCATGTTCCACACTCTACCCATTGCCTCTGCTATCACCGAGCCAAGAAGACTCTCTCTCTGTCTTCTTTATATCTGCAACTGAGTAATGGCAGACTGCAGTAATGTTTCCTCTTCACCTTCTCTTCTCCAGTCCATACAGGCTCAGATCTCAGCCTCTCCTCTAGACTGGGGAGCCCAAAACTGCACACATCACTCCAAATGCAGTCCCACGTGCCAAGTAGAGTTCATAACTGTTGGTTAAGAATCAGAATATATTCATCTACTCTTAGTAGATGATCGTAAAGATCTTTTCCACAATAGTGACTCTATGATCCTGTGAGAGCTTTGGCCATTGCACATGGACCTCAAATTCAAGCTGCTTATTCCCCATGCCATGTGCATTCGTGAACACACATTTGAGCTGCTTCCCAAATGCCACTGTGGGGCTTTTGCAGGGGAAGTGTGAGCCTCTCCTGTCATTGTGTCCCCTAAACGCACTCTGTCTGCTTGACTGGATGTGTAAGGTAAGCTTGAGCTCTAGGTGCTGCCATATGTTGATGATGTTTGGAGAAAATGGAAAGTATCATGTAGCAAAATACATGGAGCTAGCTGTGCAGCAAGAAAATTCCCAATACCTTCAGGTGACTGCATGAAGGTCACAAGTGACAATTTTGATATGCTATATTTATAGTGTATGTAATACAACTATATATATTATGTAGTGAGTTTATAAGCATTTTTATTACCAATATTCGTAAATGTGCATAACTAGCTTTCATAGTTAATGGAAGTGCGCATTATATTTAAAGGTGAAATTTAAGGGTGGAAAGTTCATTCTGTAATACTTTGCAATTTATTTCGGTATCAGTAGGAAGACCAGCACTTGCCTACAATGTCAACAAACGCACCTTTACCATCCTAAGTATATTCAGAAAAGAAATTTCCATGTCAGTCAGTACAAGTGGGATTAGGATATGCCTTCTACTTTCTTTCCCACTCCTGCCCTAACTTACTTACTAATGTGTCTTTCTAGCCCTTGATCCCTTGCCTTTGCTATGGTAACACAGCTGTAGAGCTACAGAGCAGAAGAGGGAACAGAGTTTGGTCTTTTAAGAGCAAGCCTTTTGCTACCGAGGGAAAGCGGCTTGCTACAGCAGCCCATGATCTGTGGTGCTGCAACTGGTCCACTAAAGAATAGGACTGTCTGTCCTAGGACAGCCCTGGAAGGAGAGTCCTGGGAAGAAGTTTGGCCTTCATTCTCAACACAGAGCATTCAACTCTTACTCTTTTGTTGCTGATGATGCTTTCCCACATACACATCCATTTCCAAACATCCTGCATTCATATCATTCAGAATATTTACTTTACAGATCTCTGTAGCTTGTACAGTTTTAACATAGAACCACAGTCAGCTTTACACACATACTTACCGAAAGAAGAAAAGGAAGCTAACTTCTCAGAAAAAAAAAAATCTGCTAAGACTGCAATCATATTATAAAGTAAAAGTTCAGAATCCCATTATGAGAAATACACCCAAACAAATAATTTAAACAAACAAGCATAGAAACGAAGACTTCTGTTGTAATTCCTGGAAGCTAAAACCAGTGAAACTGCTTCCATAGATCACAAAAAAACATATATCCTCCCTCATGCAGTTGCATACACATCTAGTCAAATATTTTGCATTTCTATTTGCAAAAAAATGTAACAACAGACAGGTAAATACAGGAATTTCTTTGTTTTCTCCTAGGACTTATCCAAAACACTCCAGAAGTTGATTTCTGGGCAAAGCTTACCAAGTTGGAAACTGCAGCAGCTTTTTGCTTGGACTTCACTTTAGTTTCTCACTTCATACACATCACACTGTTTCCTCAAAGTACCCAGTCAACTCCCATATAGTTCAGACTTCTCAGTGGATTAAGGCACAAATGCATGTGTTCAGGGAATGAGCTGGAAAAACAAACACACACACAAAAAAAAAGTCTGAAAGTATATTTTTTAATGCCTGATTGATGATTTTCCTAGCACTTGGGTTCTACAATGAAAACTGTGGCTTGCTGCCTGATGTATTTTCTACCTTTGCAACCAGTCTTAAAACTACAAGTTTTTACTTGTAGTAAAACTACAAGTCAAGTGCGGATCTCAGTTTATTATCCTAGGCAACCTGATAATGCAGATATGCACATCTAGAACATAAACTAGCCCAGAACTATCAACTTAATTTAATAAAACTTCAACCAATATGGTAAACTGCTATTTCTATCCTTTCCCTTTCTGTTTTTTTTTTCTTTATATTAGTTCATTTATTCACGTGTCATAGCAATAAGGCAATTATGAGAAAATATGTCATTGAAGGATCTTTCTATAGCCTTCCATTGAAGAAATATAGGGCAAAACCAGAAACCATAAACACATCAGTCAGTTCTCTGAGGTGTTTCTATGAACTGAACAGCAATTGTTGACTGCCTTGTTGACTTGTAGTTTTGCATGCCTTTCAGATTAAACACTAGTACCAAACAACACAAGTGCCAATTTACTTTACTTTCAAGGTTAAGTTTCTGATACAGAGGGACCAGTTGATACTTACTGCCGGCTCAGCCTGCATTGCCTTAATCTGAGTTAACCTCTGATGAATTTAGCACTTGAACTCTTCCCCTCGTATCTTTCTGATTCACATATTTACCGTGTTCCTCCCCAGTTTCATAATCCCTATCTCTACCTCACCAGGAATTATTTACTTACTGGTTTCATGTCCCCTTGTCGGGACACAACTATGAAAATCAGTATTGATTAGCAGCTAGTTGACAACCTGGAAGAATAAAGAGCAATGGCAAAAAAATAATAAAAAATGTAATTACATAAAACTTTTACTATTTAAGTATGAGCTTTTTCCTACGTTATAGTTGCAGAGTGCTGTATTACATTTATATTAGTGCCATATATATCCTGAGAGAAGTCAGTCGATGAAAGGTGAGGGGAACCTTCGGACAGGGAACTTTGGTCTGTGTACGTGCAGCAGGGAGTGACCATGTGGGATCCATGCAGGGTGCCTTATGACCTGTGACACAAGCAGAAAACGATGTGACCTGCAGGCAGGATGGCACTGTCAATGCTAAATGTCAGAAACCACACACATATATATGTATGTTAAAAAAAAAAAAAAGGCAGAGGACTCTCAATCCTGACTTTGCACGTATTTGTCTTCGCACGTATTTGTCTTCCGGACGGCTGTCAGCGGAGACAACCCCGACTTTCCCTCACTGTCTCCCGGCTCCCTGCCCCTCCGGCGAGCTTCTTCTCCCTCTTGCCTGGGGCAGGGAGGCCCACGAGAGCCTCGTCCTGTCCTGTCCCGTCCTCTTGTCCTGTTCCATCCCGTCCTCTTGTCCTATCCTATCCCGTCCTCTTGTCGTGTCCCATCCCGTCCTCCTGCTCGCTCAGCTCCCCCCCGCCTGCGGCCCCGCGCTGGGAGGAGGGCAGCCTGGCCCCTTCCCACTTGGAGTTTCGATTCCCCTCGAGCGTTGCCGGCGGAGATCCGCCCTTGCCCGCCGCGCTCCGCCCGCGCCCGCCCCGCCGCGCTTCCTGCAGCCCCGTCCGGTGGCGTCGCGCCGGGCTGAGGCGAGCGCGGCCACCATGAGCGACCCGGCGGTGTGCAGCTTCCTCACGAAGATCCTGTGCGCCCGCGGCGGGCGCCTGGGGCTGGCCGAGCTCCAGCAACACATCGGCCTCTCGGCGCGGCAGCTGGAGCAGACGCTGGCGGCGGCGGGGCCCGACCGTTTCCTGGTGCTGAGGGGCCACGAGGCCGCGGGCGGCGCCGCCGTCGTGCTGGCCGTGTCGGCCGTGCGCCTCTGCGTGCGCAAGGAGTGCGGCGGCTGCGAGCGCCTGCACCTCTGCAAGCTGAGCCTCATGGGCCGGTGCCACCGGGCGCCCAGGTGAGCCCCGGCGGGCGCCCCGCCTGCCCGCGGCTGTCTCGGGCAATACTTCTTATTTATTTATTTATCTATCTATCTATTTATTTATTTATTTTTTCCCCACTCCCATTTCCCTGACTACACTAGAATCTGGATGAAAAATAGCATACCCCTCTTTCTTTATTAGAAACGAAAAAGGTGCTTCAAACCAGCTGTTTTTGATCTGGAAGATTAAGTTTTAATCACTTAATTTTGCTTAAAGTCATGGCACCGTTTATGGCCACATTGCTCAGAGATGATGCTTAGTCCCCTGCTTACTGCAGTCTCTGTTTTCTAGATTTACCTAAAAAAAAAAAAAAAAAAAAGGTAAGGTTGGGACGCACACAGTCGTTCTAGGGATGGCATTATTTTTTTTTCCTGACTAATCAAAGCTGGTACAGAATTTAAATAATAACTGGGAAAATTAAAAACAAATACAGAAGTAGCATTTCTCTTCGGTAAGAGCCAACAGTACCATTGCACTCTGTCTGGAGTGAAAAAATTAACTGGTGCTCCAAACGTTTTGCTCTGTGGTGGTGTTTGCAGTGGGCAGGTGTCCTGTCAGATCCCTGCTCATCTGCCTCAGAGTAGTAGCAGTAATTCGTTATGCAGCCAAGTCTGAAGGGAAAGGCTATGCATAGCTCAGAATGGTCCTAGCAAGGCATTTTTGGATGTTAATATATATTTTTTTTCTGCCTTTACTTATTTGATTGTTACAAATATCTTTTAGGTGCATGGAGCCCTTATGCTTTAATTCAAGGGAACAAAAATGCGCTGCTGAGTGATTTGCTTCATAATGTTGAAAAGACAAAGTATTCTGTCCTCTCAATGTTGCTAAGTATTCAAATTTCCCTTTATGCATGTTGATAACAAATAGAAGGAAGAATAGACCTTTGAGAGCATATTTATATGGGAGTGATTAAAACAATGGGATAGATATGGTTCTGCATGGATGTAGATCAAGACAAAGGATTATTTTAATTGAAAAAGTATAACCATACTTCCATATTTTGCATTGGTTTTGGTTTTAGAATATCTGGGGAAAAAAAGGCATTTTAAGAAGGTCTCTGTTTAGTGAAATTGGTGCATTTTGTGGTCAAGTCAAACTGTTTTGTGTCTGATGATAACTTTTCAGTTATTTTACCACCAATATATTATTAAATCAACAAGATCCTCTACTAGTCTACTTGTGAGCTATGTCGTAGCTGGACATTGTGGTTTACTGGCCAGTGTGACTGTTACTGGAATCTAAAGTTAACCCTCAATTTATGTTGATGGCTCTAACCTTAATGCCTTGTAGCTGTGCAACCATTATAGCCATTAATCTAGAGTCTACAGAGTCTAGGATTGCTAAAAGATCGTTTTCAGGACCAAAAATGATTTCCACTTCAGACTTGAATGTTCATTTATTTGCTTACAAAGCAAAATGCCCAACTGATCGTAGGAGGAGAAATGAATGCATAAAAGCCTATATAGAAGTACTGGATGAAATACAGCATGAGGAAAAATTGTTATTAGAAGTTTCAAAAAAGTTTCTAGTTTCAACTGAAGTGCAAGAGGACTCTGGCATAAGAGAGATTGGGGTCCTAGCAGTGCTAGGAGACTTTTTAAAATTGTTTTTGTATGTTTAGTCTTAATGCTGTAATAGGTCATGCTTTTAAAGAGTGAAACTTATTTCTTCTCAGATGGCAGGAATAACAAAATGTGTTGTATTCAGCTTCCTTATCTTTCTGTTTGGGGTTCCCAAACATTCTTTACAGTCCCTCACTAGGACAACAATCTTTTATGTTCACAAAATTAAGGTTGTTGTAACTGCCATTATCACCGATGTATATTCTTTTAAATTAGCTTTTCTTCCGAATTGAAGGAGAAAGAGTTGTGTGACTTTGTGCTGGAAAGGAAGAAGGAGTAGTCAAAGCTGGCTCCAAATCTCTGCTCTTACCTTTCTTATCAAATAGTCATGTCGATGTTTAAAATGGGGAAAATAATGCTATTATATTTCAGAGTTATTATGCTGAGTACTCCATTCTCTAGCTGATTTGGTAACAGAGGCCATATAAATGTTCACAGAAACTTTTGTCAGACCATCTCTGTGGCTTTTTCCAGACTATCATAGTTTAAGGTGTTTTGATAAATCAATCTGATTGAAGAAGTGAGCAACTCATACTTCTGTTTTCTTGCAGCGCTTGTAAGTACTGCCATGACATCAACACTGCTGAGAACAAAAAAATCCTAAAGAATCATGAGCTGTCTGGTCTCAATGAGAGTGAGCTGAAAGTACTCCTCCTCCAAAATGACCCTTTCCTTCTCCCTGATGTGAGTTGTGCTGATTTCTTAAGGGAAATTTTTGTTAGTTAAGAATTGAAAAGGACGAGAAAAAAGGTGGAATCTGATCTGAATGTCAAACTGTTTTGTAACAGAAATATTAAGATTAGTCTGAATGACATATAGATGGTGACTGCTGTGCAGGAGAGCACCAGGTGAACCAATATACAGATTATAAAAATGGTGTGTATTGGTAACCAAGAGCATGACAACAATAAAACTGGAAAACATCGAGGAGCGTGCTGTTTACATAAAGGCCAAGAGACTCAAACTTTCATAATGCCACGTCACACACGCCTAGTCAGTAGACCTGCCCTATGATAGCAGGAAGTTAACGGTAAATTTACAGCATGTTTGGTGTGCCTATTATCCTGACTGGAAGACAGCTATAACCATAATGCTATATAATAAGGAAAGAGTGACAAATATGTTAGCAACTTCACCAGAGATTTATAGAGTGTGAAGTGAGCAAAACTGAGGTGAAGGAAAAAAAAAGTCCAAATATTTCACAGGCTTGGAGTGTATAGAACATCTGTCTAAAAACTGTTCACTCTTTCCTATGAATAATGTCAGTTCTTACCCAAGAGATGATAAAAATCAGAAAGCCTGCATCCCTTTCTCTGGCCAGATTACATAAGTCTGCACTTTTGGTGTTTGGGAGTGTGAGAGTGTGTGCGAAATACATGAGAAAATGACTGAATGACTGCAGTAAATTTTGTGTAAATTTTTTTTCCTTTAAAATTCTTGCACTGAAGTTTCAGTTAATTTCCCACATAATTTCCACCAAAGCAAAATTAGTTTGGCTTGAGTGTGACTGATGTTAAATATGGTTAAACCATCCAATTTCAGGTTCTGTGACGGTTTGTAACACCAGTGCTACCTTATATATATTAATATAATATAAAGATACATAATATAATACATGATACATAAAATGTGCTCACTAAGGAATACAAAGGAGTTTTTGGTATATGGCTTCTACCCTGACTCCAATTCATTGCATATCTCTTGTTTGTTGAGTAGGGGCATAAAAAAGTGCATTGTATTTCCATAGGTACTGTAATCTCACAGCATGCTTCATATGATTGCTCAAGTCTTCAGTGCAGAGTGCTTTACAAACAGAGACCTCTACAGGTTCTCCTGCACAAAGTAATAATCCACACAACACAGGGTTTTCAAGGGTAGGCTTCTTCTTCTTTGTCTTATATATGGAATAGCTGTAAATTGGTGAGTTGTTATGAGAAAAAAAGTCTTGCTCAGAAGTGACAAAAATGAATGCTTGCTAGATCAGCTCTTTCATTTTTCTTTGAAACACCTCTGCACAACTTTAAAAATGCATGAGTCAGCTGAAAATGCCTACTCCTCCCCACAAGAAATCTGCCCAGATTACAGAAGTTACAATGAACGTTTAGTTACAAATCTTCTGCCACTGAAATTGTATATATATAGAATGAACTTAAAAAATATTGATTCTAATGTGCTTTTTTTGAGTTCATATTGCACCTTCCCTTCTTGCTTCTAGATATGCCAGTTTTACAACCAAGGGAAAGGTACCTGTACCCAGCAAAACAACTGCAACAAGCTTCATATATGTCGACACTTCCTTCGAGGGGAATGCAGATTTCTTCAGTGCAAGAGGTCCCACAACCTCCTGAATGCCCATGAATTGCATGTGTTGAAAACTGGTGGAATTGATTTCAATACAGCTTTGAGCTTCCAGACTATATGTGATCATAAGCATGTGGAATTCAACAAGGAACTGAAGAAGGGGAAAAAAAGTTGTAAGAAACACTGTATTTAAATAGAATTCTTAGTTTGACAGAGGTAGATGCCATTCTTCCCTTACCTCACAGCTAAACTGATCATCCTTTCTGTGCTGTGAGTTCTAAAGCACAAAACAAGAGAAGCTAGAGGGAAAAATGCAGTGGCTGAATAACGTAGGGAAAGAGAACTGTGTCGTGGTTGAATATGCTATTATATACAAGATCAGTAATTATGACTAGCTGGGATTTGTAAGTGTAACTGCTGATCTGTTAAATCAGCAGGAGAATGGAAAATAATGCAATTGTGATGGACACAATTCTCAACACACAATTTGGTATGGCACCAGATGGCTGAGGATATAGTCCAGCAGTCATGTTCATTCCGTCTTCTCTTGCAGGTCCCAGTAGCAGTGCACCTAGTCAGAACCAACACCAGCAGCCAACAGGAGGGGGAGATAGTGATGAAGGTATGCACTGTTTCTAATCCTTCAGCCTTCAGAGTAGCAGTGTTCAATTGGATTTGTTTTTATGCAGCTGTACAGCTCCCTGTAGTTGTTGGAGAAGCTTATGTGCTTACCCTGGCATATGCTGAAAGCCACAGTGTTAGCCTGCAGAGGAGCAGTGAGATTTCTGCACAAGCTCTGGACAGCAATGACATATGTGTGCCTAGTCTAGGGAGTAATTTGGGATTGATCTCTTAATTGTTCTGGATGCAATGCATTCTTCCATGGGTTGGAGACAGAATTGCATCTGTGCATGTGGAATCTTTCCTCACCTTCCTCTCCAAGGAATGGATTTGTCTGTACTATTTTAAGTTAAGAGGTTGTCTTGTTACATGTAATCCAGTGGGTGAACAGGAACTATTAAATGCCATTTCCTCCAAAGCAAAAGGGCCTTGGTTTTAAAGCTTACTGTAAGAGTTAGGGCTATGCGGTGACAGTAGCATCCTGAAAGTTCTTAACTTGGCAACTGCAATCAACTCCTAGCTGTTTTTGGATGAAATGCCAAATGCAGTGTCTTTCTCTCTGAATTGTCTGGGTGGAGGGAAATAAGGAATGACGTGTTCCTTCCTGTAGGTAAAAAAGATGATTCCTGTGATAAAGATTCAAAGGACAATAAAGCAGACAAGAGTGATGAGATATGTTTGTTCAATGTCTGGAAATACTGCAAAAATAAAGGTAAGCCTTACCAAAAATAATGTCCTTTTTGGAGAGTCTGCAGATGCACAGTCTTTTTGAACGCTCCTACTAAAGTGGTGGAATTTGGAGAGCTGGCATTGACCATTATGCCTTCTCTTTGATTCACTTTGATGCCAAGTCACTAATGAACAGTGTCGGAATTGCAAAGAAAATGAGGGGAAAGCCAACTGGGTACTTGTAAACCTCCTTTCCTCTGTAGGTGATGCATTTATGGCTTGTTTCTGTTATGCTGAGGGTGCAGGCCTTACATATGTTTTCTATGGCAAGAACCTTCAAGAATTAATTGTTATACTTTCTGTGAATATTAGACCAATTTAATAACTGGTCTTACAGCATCACTAATGATGATCAATAAAAATATGTCATTCTTCAGTTCTGTCTTAGGTATGAAAGATACAAGCTATATTGTCTCCCCACTAAGTCCTTTGAAAGTGATCTGAAGTGGCTTGATATCTTAAGATTACTCAGTAGTTGTACCAACTAATCTAGTGATAGATCTAGTCCATCCCATGTCTGTCAGCGGCCAATAATTAGACTCTAGGGAAATGAGAGATGTGTTAGTTAGACACACAGGCATCACCTTCTCTTTTGTGGCACTGCTCACCCATCTGTCAAAGTGGTGTTCCAGTGAAGAGAAGGTTAAGGTTTCTTTGAAATTTATTTGACAATATGAGGTTTTATGTTGCTTTCCTTGGTGTGACTGCAGAAATACACCCCTTTTATTCCAAATATTTCTACTTTCAGTGAACTATCTTTGTTTTTCACAGTAAAGCCCATGAGATAAGGCCAAAGAAGAGTATAAAAGTGCTTTTCTTGCTCTCAGTTTGTGTTATGATTGCAGAGCTCTTGACTATATCTGATCTCATTTCAGATAAATGCAAACAGGTTCATTACCATTTGCCATATCGATGGCAGGTATATAATGGGATCACTTGGAATGATCTTTCTATGATGGAGGAAATTGAAAAAGCCTATTGTGACCCCCAAAACAGCAGGTATAATATTGATGGCTGTACTGCCTGCTTCGTGTTCTGTGGTGTGGTTAAGCCCCTCAATAACTGATTTCTTCTTAAAGATGCATGGCTTCCATAATCTCTGATTGGGGAGGTGTTCAGAAACTGGAGGGATGTACAAAATGAAAGATGTTCTTTAAAAACAGAAAAGTAAAAGAAGTACCTGCATAGAAACACTGCCCATTTTTGTTATCTATAAAATAACATGTACTTTACACTTAAAATTCTACGTAGGGTAGCAATATGTAGTAGGAGTTTAGTGATATGAATTTATGGGCAATATATTAAATACCTAATGATAATTTATTTGTAATAATTCTTTTGGGACTCTTGACAACATTTGATATAATGCCATAGTCATGTTGACCCTTTCCTCTCCAGACAGCAAATGATTCTGCTTTGCTGCTTGACTAGGCTGCTGGATGGTGCAAATCACAAGCAAAATTCCCAAGAGGAGGCTGATTTCAAAGTCTTTCTGCCTGAGCAGGAAGAATTAATCGCTACACTATGCGTGTAGCCCCAGATTGTCTAGAAGTTTGGCAGCCAGACATCTGGTTAGAGACTCAGGCTCTTGTAAACTCAGTCTTTTTTAAACCTCTGAATTTGTCCTCACAGCATAGCAGATAAAAATATTAATTTTGATACGATGACTTGCGGTATTTCTTCACTTCGACGCCTTTCTACGCCTTCATCTGTGACAAAACCCACATTTTTATTGACCACACAATGGATTTGGTATTGGAAAAATGATCAAGGCCAGTGGACTGAATATGGAAAACAAGTGAGTCCATATACTCCATGTCTTCCTCATTCTGTGCTGAAGCAGTATGTGTCACCTTTTCACTTCAACTTGCCTTTAGTCAATTAAGTAAATACTTATGCTTATATTCTACAGTGTCAAACAAGGTAGTGAAGCTATAGATCTTCTTAACAAATACGATAAAACTATGGTGGAAGGGCGGAAGGCTAGGAAGATGCCTTATGTCTTTATACTCGTGTTAAATATCAGTAATTGGTCCTTCGTTTCCTATGGCTGTAAATGGAAAGCATCTCTATCAGCATCTCCTCATATTTTAAATTCTTCCGTAAATGGGGGACCACCCTGGTGTAGAAATCTAAATAGAATATGTGTGTGTACATCCTTGCTAATTGTGGTTGTGTCCATATGTAATGAGTGGTTGGCAATCACACTTTAGGACACAGTAGTTCTGGGTAGATTGCTCTTCTTCCTTCTTTTTACCATTTCTTCTCCTCTACCTGAACTAGAGGTGGTAGAAGAACAAAACAAAATAAAGAGAAAAGCCCAGTGTTGCCAGATAGGTTTCTGTTGCAAGACATATATTGAGTTTGAATGTATTGTTAAAAGAGAGACAGAAAAGGAGAAGAGTATTACACTGCTCTGTGTAATACTATTGATCCTTAGTCATTTTTTTGTATGGTGGTGATGCAAGAGTGTTAGTTACTGTTCTGTCCTTACCAGTCTTTTCTTTCTCCCATGTTCCCATTTGCTCCTTCAGCTGTCTCCTGTGTCATCTTCTCTTTCTTCTTCCTGAATCTGCCTCCTTATGGTCTTTACCCAGCAGAAAAGTTCCGGAAAGCCAAGAGTCTTCCCTCCTGTGAGCTTGCACCACAAGTCCTCACTTCCCATCCATCCACAACTCCTGTAATATTCTCTTCATGCATCTCATGTCTGTGTCTGACCTTGAAATCTGCTTTTCTCCTAGAAGCTACAAACTCAAACAAACCTGTTTGGGAGAATCTTGTTATTCCCGCTCATGTCTGCATGTCTGTGGCTTTCGCCTTTTTTTCCTTCACCATTTTTATGTCTTTTGGCCTTAATTTTACTGTGGACAGGAACCAGACATTTTATTTACCTGATCGAGAATGTGTGCATTGCATCATTTCACCTGCAGAAATTTTAATTTGATTTTTGATTACCTTTGTCTTGATAAAAGCAGTGTTTAATGTTGACCATGTTTAGTCATTCTTCTCTCTCTCTCTCTCTTTTTTTTTTTTTATCCTAAAGGGAGAAGGGGATGAGATGAAATCACCAGCCTCTGATATTCTTGAGAACTTATATCTAGCAGATCAAGATGCCACTATACCTTTCCAGGCTGGTTGGCATCATTACGAGCTCAATTTTAAAGGTACCATTCTCATTTATTGCTATGCAGTGTTTGCTCTGTCCAGAGTCTCACATAGGAGCGGAAATGGGATGATACTGCATCATGTAATTAGGTTAAGTCAGGGAACCCTATGAATTGGTAAAATGAATAATCAAACATCTTTCAGTATCAATCAAGCTCTTGCAGTAACTTTTAGAGAATGTTAATATATAAAGAAATTAACAAGACACAGTTTCAGAAAGGGAGTTACAGGGAAGGGTGGAAAGCTTGTGCAGGCTTTGTCCAGTTGATCTTCAGTAGACAATATTGACAGTGAAAATGCTGTCTTTCATGAATAACTCCACCTTGTAGACTCCTTCAGGATTTTTTCTTTTTCCTTCTCTCTTCCCCTCCAGAAATGACCCAGACAAATGTCCACCTTAGAGCTCAAAGAAAGGTCTGCAGACGTCCAAAGTTTGTGTCTTCTGAAGATGTGGAGAAGATAAAGAAAGGGTAATGCTGCATCTGAATTGTGGTCATTGGTCAGAAGTACCTGTAAGGCAAATGGTTGTTAGTACTGGCACTCATTGTGCAAAGAATGCAACTGTTATTGGAAGAAAACCTCTCCACTTGACTGACCAGAAAGTGTGCCAGGCCCTCTGCCTGCTTGGTGCATCACCAAGTTGCTGGGCTCTGTGTTAATCCATGTATTGCAGGGTGTAGGGTTTGGGGAAAGACTACTATTTCTTAAAGAAGCAAATGAAAGAGGTTGGACAACTGAGTGACATCATGCAAAGCCCAGCTTACAAAATGAGTCTTTATCCCTGGTCCTTTGTGGCATGGGGAAGATATTTTTTTTTTATTTGGGAGGTGGGGAGTATTTCTGGGGGGAGGTAGTAGGAACTGACTTAAGGGGATGCTGCCAGTTTCAAAGCTTATAGCTTTGAATAGAATAATAGCTTCTATAGAAATATAGAGTTATTAACACCTAACATAACACCAAACACTTCTTTTTCCCTTCTGTTTGGAAACAGACAAAGGGATTCTTCTATTCCAAATCAAACATGTCCTGTCCACTGGGATCAATCTGCACTACCTGAGTTGGGATATAAGGTATTTTTTTCTCTCCCTTTGTAATTTTGATGAAAAGGCATGATAGGAAGAGAGACACTGTTTAAGTGAAGGGATCACAGTAAGTAGATGGTAAAATGTGACAAGAATTGCTTTTTTGAGTACATGTGCTAAATGTCTAGATGACTTCCAAAGAGCTTCTGGAAAAGGTGCCATTCTTGTTTCTACTCCTCATTATAAAGACACAAATTCAGGACACACAAGTCCGTTATTAAAAATGTTGCAGTGGTGGACAGGTGGACCAGATAAGCGAGTGGATTCTATGAAGTATGTATTTCTTCAGTAGAACATGGGCTGTGAACAAATCCTGTCTTCATCAACTGTTATAAAGCCGTAAAGAATATTACTATCATGGTTGTCAGTGGACAAGGTTTGGCCAGGAAAACTAGACAGGTCAGTCTCTACATGCTCCAAAGATGACACTCTGCACTGATACACATCGCAGACCTGCGCACAGCCCATCGCCTCAAAGAATGGCAGAGAGAAAGCATTATTGTCACTAGGATCTGAGCTATTTGCAGTGGTATTCGAATAGAGTTACAATGGGAGTAGTATTAGAAACAGAAATAGTACTATTTAGCTTACATAACCTGGTCCTGTTCTCTTGCTTTGTGCTGCACATTTCATTTTACTCCCACTCTCCTCTTTTGCTGGTTATGCCTTACATGGTGGAATACCATTATCTGTGTGTGTGTATAACAGTCATCTACGTACAGTTAAGAAAAATCAGTAGGCTAAAATTAAGGAAATTTGCTCTGTAGGTCATCTCCTTCCAGATAGTTAAATCCTATTTTCCAGAATTAATCAGAAAAATATTCTTTTCAGATTATATCAGATACACAGCTTCTGCTAATGTATTTAATTCATGAGAGTTTGTGTGGGAATCTGGCATCTGCACCTTTTTTAAGTAGCGTAATACCAACTTCGGCTGGCATTTTTTAAAGGAATGATAGGAAGAACAGTACCTCTGTCCTTTTTAGATCTCTCTCTTGCATGCACGTCCGGCTTCCCTCATTTTCTCTGCAAACTTCCATCTCAGTTTGAGTTGAATCATTTTTTTTAAGTGTTTCTGAAGTCACTGAGGTGAGAGGCTTAAATACAAGGGTAATTTGATGCTTAGATCCATAGTACCTCTGGTATTTGTGGGGATGTGTGAAATAGAAGGATCATGTTGTTTCTCAGAACCTGATTTGCTTGCTGACCTAAAAAGACCATCTCTGAACTTGTAAACTGAGTGTCTTCGATATGAAAGGAGAGGTTAACTCTGTATTGAAAAGTGACAATGGCAGTAGTATCTGTCAGAACTAGGAATCCAAGCCTGGACTAGATTAAGCATTTTCTCTGGGACCCTAAGTATTTTTTTTTACAGTAGGTAATATTGGGACTGACTGAGATTCTGGATGCATGCGGCGACTGTCATAACATCTGTCAATAACAACTTGATGAATTCCCTCTTCTTCAAACACTGGCAAACATTGCTGCGCTGGAAGTGATACATTTCAAAAGGAGCATCAATGAGACAGGGAGATAATCTTCCTTATTTAAAAATAGGAGCTCTGCTTTGATAGTATGATTGATTTTGAGTATTGCAGTGTGTTACTCTATAAATCTTTTATTCTCATAAACCATTCTCTAGTGTAGAGTCTGTAAAGTGCATGTTAGACATAGGTAGCACCACTTGCAAAAGTGGTATGAATCCCCTGTTGTTTAACACACCAAATGGAATTCAGGAGTTGAGACGCCTACAGGCTTCACTAGCTCTTGATGCTCTATTTCAGTGTTTCAAGTTGTACCTTTCATCTAGAACGGAGACATGAGTGCCACCAAGGCAGTGTGCTGTTCTTTCTGTAGATGGGTCTTTGTGTGACTGCTGTTTTGCTGAAGCGTGACATGCATGCCAACGCTTGCTGTGCTCTAACAACAGCAGGAGCTGATGCATCAGCAAGAGTCTAGCTTTGCACTCCATAAATGGTAGCCATAGTTGCCTCAACCCAACCAATCCTACTGCTTCCAAGACCTGTGTTAAGCAGACATCACAGTTTGACCTCCCATAGGATCGTTACTACGAGGTATCAAGCTGTTTCCCTTTATTAACAAGGAATGCATTTTGGAGGCAAGAAGAAGGAACCCACACAGGCTGGCTGGAAGAGGACTGGCTTTGTTGCTTGCAAACCATCATATTAAAATACAATTTTTGTACCTGTCCTACAGGATCAGGCCTTGTGCCCCGCGACTGACCTCCTGTTTCCAGACTGACCCCCTGTTCCCTGACTCTCACCTCCAGTGAGAATCCCTCAGCAGAATATGCAATGTAGTAAAAGCATATTTTGTCATCTGAATAAGAACCTTATGCATATAATTTAAGAGTTGTATTGCTTAAATATATTATAGCTATAATTTTCATCCAATAGGTGATGAAGAAGTTTATCTATGGTATCCTAGAGTGTGCAGATAATAAAATTCTCACTCAGACAGATGGAAGTTTTGCAAAGTGGCTTTGAAAAAGTACAGTGCTACATGGGAAATATCATTCCGCGTTGTAAAAGCTATTTAATAAATCCAAAGAAGTAATTCTTCTGTGTGCAGCTGATTTTATTCTTCTTTTTATGCTTGTAAGACTTTCCTGTGAAAGGCCTCTTCATTCAAATATTTAATCAACAAACTGGACGTGGTCTCTGGAAAAAGTTTTCTTTGTTTGCAGTGTGAAGTCTTATTTTTTTCTCTCTAAACTCATTTTGAGTTTGGAGGAGAGAGTTTGTAGCAAGAAGGGCAAGCTGTAGGTTTCACATTAACTCCCAGGAAGATGGTAGTTTTCCTTCCTGAACTATATCTGTGAGGCAGGGAATGTTGGGCTTTCAACCTGAAGTCATAAGGAATCCCACTGGGATTAGGCAGCAGTAAACTGAGAAGTCTTACCAAGCAGCATCTCTCTGCCAGCACTTGCATTTTCAGTCTGCTTTACAGAAGGTAAACGGTCATTTCAGAAGATTAAGGCACAGATGTCTTTGGAGATAAAAATGCCAAATTCATGCATGACAGAAGGCAGCAAGAGAGCACAATTCATGTTTTAATTCTCTGTTGCACTGACCTTTCTTTAGAGGAAATGTCAACTTTTGGGTAGCTTGTAAACAGTGGGAGAAGTATTAACAAGTGTATGCTTTGGTTCCCCTAGCATAGGAGTAGGCATGTTTAATTAAGCAGTTCTGCAGTTCCTGAAGCTGTTACTGAAGTGTGAGTTCTTGAGTTTTAACTTAGAAAAACTAAAGAACATGATGTGGGGTGGCTGTAGAGATTCTGTGTGTTTCCTTTGTAATAGCCAAAGCTCCCTGAAATGTCTGGGGACAAATACCACTGTCATCTGCAGCTTTTGTTCTTAATAGGTCCCGTTATTTTAAGATTGTTTTCTTCCTGCAATCTAAATTCTTGCATCTTGCCTCTACTTTGGACATGATAATCATTTAACTGACCCCTTTTATACCTTCAGTGTGCTTCCATAGGACAGGAAAGATGTCCTTGGGGAGCTGAAGTGGCAGGCTGATTTCCATACTTACTGTCTGCCCCAATTGTTCACATCAGTCTGAAGCACCAAAATAAACCCTCTTAGGTCTATTGGGAGTCCCTTGAAATTACATTTGTTTCAGTTCAGCTTTTGTGTGTTACGAGTTGGACCTTCATGGATTCTTTTGCTTTGGTTTGTATTTTATAGGCAGTGGAGCTCACTAGTACATCCTCTGAATACAACTTAATACAGAAGATGTTTGAGAAGACTATGAAAAGGCACTCTGTTCATAGGATAAGTAGGATCCAGAATCCGTCCCTCTGGAAAGTATTTCAGTGGTTCGTATTTGTTCTGTCATTGTGAAAGGGAGGGAGTCCCAAGTTCTGTCCTCCTACACCTGCTTCCAGGAAGGTAAAGAGGTTAACACCTGTGCTTTAAACTGCACCTGTGTTTGTTTTGTAGGAGCAGTTTCAGAAGTGAAATTCAGTGACTAACTCCTATGAGTCTGACTCATTCTTTAAATCGGTGATCACTGAGTTCCATAGCTTCTTTGGAGTTTTCAGCATTTCTATCAGTAATGTTGAATTGCAGATATTGCCAGTTTGAATACCAACAGATTTGAGTTGGCACTAGTGCAATAAATTACGATGTTCAAGTTCATTTCCTCACAGAAAAAAACTATCTGCCATTACTTCTCTCCTGGCTGTGCCTGCCCAGCACACCAGATATCACTGAGGGGCCAGGCTGCTGAAGACTTAGAGGAGCTCAGGTCATAGAGGGGTACACAGTAGGAGTACACAGCCCAGGCAGAAAGCCCAGCTCAGCACAGCCATGTGCCCTTTCAGCATGATTGTCCCTGTGTGTGTGGCAGTTTGAGTTCAGCAGAGGAGCAAGGAAAACCTCTCTCTAGTGTTTCCCCATTGCTGGAGTGGGAAGAATCTGCAGTTGCCATCCCCCCCCTACTCTACGGAGGAAGTTTGGGATGGGAGGGGTGGGACAGAAGAGGTGAAAGGAAAGCAGAGCTAGTAGGATCCTGCAGGGGACAAAAAGATTGATATGGGCGGAACTGTCTTAGTACTGCTGCTTATTTCTGGTTCTCCTCCGTGAATGTATGTGGAAGTACTTTACAGTGAGATCAGTTTATTGCTCCTCTTAATTGTTTGTTGTGCTGCTAGTCTGCCTAAGGAGAGAGAGGAGAAAGCCGACTGGAAATCGCCTCCAGCTCGTAATTGCATGCACATTACGTACTTAGGAATGTTACTAGGTTTGTTTTTAACCCCCTCCTCTATTTTCTTCCACAACTTTCTTCCCCACTGCCTTCTGTTAGGCAAAAGGAGCAGATGAAGAAAGAAAATGGAGGGAAGGAAGTAGAGGAAAGGCTTCTATTCCATGGTGCCAAGATCTCTTTCCTGGAAGCTATCTGCAATCACAACTTTGACTGGAGGATTTGTGGAAGCAATGGGACAACCTATGGAAAGGGTATGTAGGAAACTGTAGGCTTTATAGATCTTAGACTCCCCTATGGAGAATGTCCTGTAGGGGTAGATGAGAAGCAATCAACATTTGGAAGGTCTGTCTTTTAAGTATAGAGGGCAGGAATTAAGTTGTATGATTTTCACTCCATCTGGAGAGGGCAGGAAGTTGCCTTGTGCAAGCTGATGTCCTTTCTCCAAGTTCAGAGAGACTTAATTCAGGGATTTGAAAAAGTCTCTGTTGCTGCAGGTGGGACCTCTTGAGGGCTCAAGTTCATAGTTGGAATTTGCTAGAGAAATGACTGCTGGCCTCCATGGCAGGGAGAAGGAAGGACATGAAGTCCCTCCATATAGTGAAGAAAAGTTCTCTTGATTGCTTCTCTAACCCTCTTATAACAACACACATGCCTGTAACATTTGGAGTTTGGTTTGTTTGATTTCTGCTCATTCCTAAAGGCAAAAGTTCTGAATAGAAATTCTATGGTGAAATGCTTTGATTCTTGTCAAGAATTCTGTGGTAGCGCATAGGCTGAATATGAGCAGCCCTGCAAGTTGGCTCAAAGAACTCTGGAGAAAGGAAGGATAACTCCCATTTTCACTGTAGCTTTCCAAATTAATTCCTTCTACCATTTTTTCTTACTATGTTCCAGGAAGTTACTTTGCCAGAGATGCTTCCTATTCCCATGAATACTGTCAACCTACTGTAAAAGCAGCTGTAATGTTTGTGGCTCGTGTATTGGTTGGAGATTTTGTTGAAGGCAATGCAAGCTACGTTCGTCCCCCAATCAAATCTGCTAATATGCTTCGGTTTTATGACAGCTGTGTGGACAACAAGTTAAATCCCTCCATTTTTGTTGTCTTTGAAAAAAATCAGTTTTACCCAGAGTATTTAATAGAGTATAAGGAGGCAGAAAAGAAATGTATTGTGTCTTAGAGAAGGATGAGAGCAGGCTGTGTCCCTCATCTTGTTCTCCCTTTTACTCAGTGACTTCTTTTCCTATACCCCTCTTTTGAGTGTTTTATTGAAGAACTTCCATAATGAGGAGGCCTGGAAAACAGAGGTTGTCTTTAAGAGACTCATTACCTTGTCTTCTCCTCTTACTTACCAAAATTTAAGAAACATTTGCATAAGCAGAGTACAACTAGGTGAATTTTGTGACTTTGGTGGACAAATAATAGTAAATAGTTACTTTGAAAATATATAAAGAGAATTGATTTCTCTTCAAAAATCGGTTCAGATAAGAGAAAAATCAACAGCATGGTAGTTTTTAAGCAAACTCATTGGTTTTTTAGTGGTTCTCCAATAGGCTCCTGTAGTGTTTTGCAATGCTGAGGGCTTTATGAAGTCTTTCTTTTCCATACAGAATATGGCTGTTCTTGAGGCTCTCTTCTGTCACAATGCTAAGCAAGTTGAAGTACTTAAAAATGATGTGACTTGGTTTGCAAAATGCCATTTATTAATATCATACTAGTGTGATATTTAACATAGTAAAAATAAAACTTCTTTTAAGCTCATATAGAACACTCTCCAGTGAGGAAGTTTCAGTTGTCTTGTGGCAGCTACTACACTTGAGATCAGAAAACTCTTGGATCAAAATCTTTTTGCAGATCTGCAAATAGTGTAGTAACTTGTTTTGGACCTAGAGAGTGCAGATAGGACAGCAGAACCCAAACTCTGGAAATCAGAGTCTAGGAAGCCTCTTGTCCTCAGATACGGTGGTTTGTCAGCAACTAATGGCCATAAGCATGTAAAAATTCTGTCAAAATACAGACCAGCCTTTAAAATGAATGTGCCTGTGCATTTTTCTCAATAAGAACAATTTCTGAGCAAATGCTGTAGGACAGGAGTAATTTCTTAAGATACATTGATATTTTCTGTCCTACATTACTTTTCATTTTCCAGAAGTGTTAAACTAGTGAAAGAGGAAATCTCCCTTTCAAGGTCAGTGATAGTAAGAGCTAACATCCTAAAAAACATCCATGTTTGGAGGCCTATATTGAGTTTATGTGAGAACTGACAAGGTTAAGCCAAGTGTAATTCCTTTTTCTTTGAGCCTGTGTGTATCACCAAAGTGCATACACTTTTGTCTGGATCTGTTTTTACAGAAACTTCCTATACTTTGTTTTCCTTGGTGATGTGCAACCGTATTAATGGTGATGAAACCCCTTTTTTATTGTTAAATGCTTTTAGACTTCCCGACAAGGAAAATGCGATACAGAGCTTTCACTGAATTGTAACATCCCTTGAATTGAAACCCTCTGTACAAGGATAATTTCCCACTGTCTCACTGAGGCCATCCAGCTGATAAGAGGAAGACTGTTGCTGAGGCCAACGAATGAATAATTTTTCATTTGGGGTCACTCTTTCAGAAAAACGAGTAGCCTCCCAGCTACTTCTGTCTTCAGCACAAGTCAATAAATCAAATATATTACTCAAAGATCAGAAATGACAAAGAGGAAGGGGAAGTGTATAAAACTAGGAAAACACATTAAAATAACTGTTTTAGAAGTAAATGCAAATACTCATTGTTAATAACAGGAGGAAACAATTTAATTATAATAAAAATCTCTCGCTCTGCCTCTAGAGTTCCTTTATCACTTTGAAATATGTAATTTATTTTAAAATAAATATATTTTCAGTCTCTCCTTGCTTCTTTATGTGCATTTATCCTGCTGCAGACCTCTACCTTCTTTCTGGTACTGACCCAAAAAGGGAAAATACTCTGACACTAGGAAGATGGAGCGTGCACAGGAATCAGCTCTCCTGCCTACTGACACCTCAGCCTCTTCCCAAGGCCTGCTAAGAAGACTGCCTCACAAGAGAAATGCAATGCATGCCAGAGGCACACAGCTCTCTGAACAAGGTCTTAAGAGCTGCAGACTTTGGTCCCAGATGTCTTTTAGTCACCCATGTTCAGAGGAACTGACAGCCTTAAGTGCCAGTGGCTCCACAAGCACTCACTTTGGAAGGAAAAAGGGCTGCACTTAGGAGGTGGTGTTTTCAAAGCACCTTCCTGACTCACTTCTCCTGAGACTTGGATTTCAAAGGGCTTTCTTATGGCAATCAGAGTCAAAAAGAATCTGGTGCCACACTTTGCAAAAAGGCCCTGCTGAGCGGCAACACTCTTTAAAACTCTTAAAAAAAATGAGGCCACCTAGAAAAAGCATGGAAAAAGGAGACTAGAGCCAACCATGCAATACTGTCTTTGTAGAGAATCCTGTACAAACCTCTGTGCCCACTTTCGCTAGGAAGTCTTCTCAACTGTGGACTTGAAGGTGCACCACACGTAGGAAAGAAATGGGTAATGAAAAATGTGTATAGCTTTCTAACGGAGTTGTTTGTTGTTTGAGAGCAAAGATTCAAGAGCATTCAATGGTTTGGAGACATTATGCACAAGTTCTATGTGCCCACAGCAGTAGTACTGCCAAGAAGCAACACAAGGCTGAAAAGCCTTGAAAAGTGGAGTTACTTCCTTTTCATGAGCAAATATTCCAGACTTAAGAAGTTTGTGCACGTACTGCCCAGCAGATCCTGTATCTTTTGACCTCCATTCTCCCTTTCAGCCAGATTCCAGAGATAAATCTCTTAGGGGATGATCCTGTTGGCACAGCTGCATGGGATCATAAAAGAAGGGAAGACCTCGAAGAGAAGGGCTCTGGAGCAGACGCTCATGCTGGAGCTCCTTGTCTAGAGGTGAACCACTGCGGCCCAGAGCCACCGAGCGAGAAAGCGCAGGCAGTGAGCAGCACGAGGCAGTCCCGGCGCCGACCCCTGAGCGGGCAGCGCGGAGCTGCCATAAAGTAATGCGAGGTGATTTAAATGCTGCCTCAGTGATGTGTCTATGGAGAGTGTGTTGTGAAGTATTAAGAAAGTACGTAGGAATTTCAGATGTTGTGGTGCCAGCAGCTGTGGAATGTGCTGTGGCTTGTGTGGATCTGCCTGACAATCCCCYAGATCCAGGACCTGTAGACCCTGAACAAGAACCAGATCTGTTTCTGTCCGAGCTGCGCAACTGGTGTGTTGAGGTGCGCCGAGAAGCCAGGAAAGCAAGGGATGTAGAAGTGCTGTTTGTTTTCCCAGTCATGTACTCGTGTAATCAGGCTCTGCCATATCAGCCTTTAGAGCGAAACATCATAAAGGAACTCCGAAGGACAGTGTTAGAGAATGGGCTGATAGCGCTTTTTACCATGAACTTACTGCAGAACATAACAAAGTCCCACGGGTTTGTGCCACAGAACTGGGAGCTAATTGCAAAAATGATACCGATTCTCATGCAACATATTATTCTCCTGATGGAATGGAAGCGCAGTACAGAGGAGGAGACAGGAGCCTAGAGCCAGAAGCAGGTGGGGTGGCTCTTTCATCGTCTCCTCTGCCTGTCTCCCACGACTATGAGAAAGTGATGCCTCTTCCTCCTCCCTGGCACAGGGAAGCGGTGGAAGCGGCAGCAAGCAAGGTTGCCCCCCGCCACTTTCCCCCATCCCTGCATGGAGCAGAAGTTGCTCAGTTATCTTACTCCAAGGTTAGCCCGCTGGCAGCAGCTGAGCGGTCCTGAGGCGGGGGGGGGGTGGCAGGACGTTCGAGTTTACGGATACTTTGGAAACTGCAGAACTTGCGGCAGGGGTTCACTGTTTTTGTATGTTTTCACAAGCGATTAACATTGTTTCTGATTCAGCATATGTTGCAGGACTGGTTAACCGAYTASAAGGAGCGTATTTGAATTATCTACATGCTCCTTACTTCATAACACATATCCGGTCTCAGACAACGCTGCCTGGTCCTCTGATGGAAGGAAATCAGCATGCTCACAGCCTCGCCAGGGTGACCACCCTTCCAGACGTATTCCAGCAGGCGCGGTTGTCTCATGTCTTCCTTCACCAGAGTGCTTATGCTTTGTGCCAGATGCTACTTTATATAGGTTTGCAGACAGATGTCACTAACATGCACCCTTTATGGTACCCTTGGACCTATGGTCTGCAGTACAACAAATAACTGAACGCTGCTTTATATTACATATTCACAGTCATACGCGTGATGCCTGATGCCACTTTCTAGCTGACTTTGCAATGCTAGAGGAGCAGACCTGTAAGCTAGTTCACAGGTTAAACACGAAGCAAGGGAGATAAAGGTAATAAAGGTAGGACCCTCGTAACGAGACCAGAGACTCCAACCAAGACCTACGTTGTCTCTGCGGGGACGCCCGCAAGCTTGGGGCCTGTTGGCCACCTCTCCATGGGAAGAATGGTCTCACTATCTGGCTAGAAAATATTCTCTCTTAAGTAATTGCTCTGTAGCTGCTTCATTTTGCAGGGAGTTGCTAAGTAATTGTCATGCTTTAGTGGGTGAGAAATTAAAACGGACAGTGAGCTAGGCTATCTGGCCCAGTCTACACAGTTGTTATTATAATTTAGATATAGAGATATAGATATATAGGTATATAGATATATAGGTATATAGATACAGATATAAGATATAGATACAGGTGTAGATAAACTACACTACAGAATCACGTTGTTATTGATTTTGCTTTTAGGACAAGAGCATGGATGTGAAGACTTTGAGGGGAAATTAATGATTGTGAAATCAGGAATTGATAAACGGCAAAAAGGCTTGGATTTAACATGATGATTTTTGGATTTGTTCAAACAAAGGTTAATGATTCTGATCACTATTGTAACTGTGATTCTAACTATATCCTGTGGGTTAAGAATTGTGTTAACAATGTTTGAGGATGCTCTGAGGAGGGTATGGCTGATTTAAAAGGAAAAAGGGGAAATTGTAGGAATGTACTTAGAAGAAACTCTGAGTGGGCACACTGAAACAGCCATACAAGAAGGTAAACAGAGCACATAGCCCGTTTAACAGCACGTTTAGGAAAGACATGTTTAACAAGGCAAAACAAGACAAAAAGAAGGTATCTCAGTTTTGTTTGGCTTGCAGTATAGAGAAAAATGTTTGAAAGACTATCTGTAAGTGTATGATGACGGGGATTAATGAGACTGGGATCAAATATGGGGGTGCGTAATTTGATGCTTAAACAATATCAGCAGTTAATATTACATGGAGTAAAGCATGCAGTGCTTGGACCTGTTGTAAAACTATATCAAGTTGTGCAAGTTAAGGTTGAGGATCCCTCTACTTTTTCAAATAGTTTTGTGAGACTGCTGAAAAATGAACAGACTTGAATCCTGAAGACGAAGCTGAACAACAGATTGATGACAACTGGGATTCATTTGGACAGTGCAAATAGGGATGACCTTGGTTCCAAAAGCTGTTACTAGAACTGTTTTTCTTGCTTATAGTATTCATTTGTATTATAGGTTGTATTCCTTGTGTAATTGCGTTGCTATGTAGAATGATTGAAACTACCATGCTAGGGGTACCTACCCAGGTCAAAACAGATAATGGATCAAGCCATTGTTGAGTGTGCCCATGGCACCCTGAAAACCATGCTATAAAAACAAAACCCATCCTCAGGGGATACTCCCCTCAGGAACGGTTGCAAAAGGCCCTGTATGTACCTAATCATTTAAATCGAGAAACAGACAACATACTCCCAATGCAA